AGAGTTGCAGGTTATTGGCACTGCTAAGAGCTGCCACCAGTGGCCTGATTGTACTTGCAAATCTCCTCCTTCCAAAGTGATGTAGGCAGTAAAGCAGTTTTTCTACTACTGCCTGAAAACAAGTCAAATTAATTAATTTTATAGACTTAATCCTCTCTAAGAAGGATATTAGGCATGGTTAATCATTTAAGTGCTATATTGTTGTGTTACTTAAGATGGAGTAATTGTATGTGGATGGATATAGTGACTGTTGCTTTGTAGACTTTTGAATGAGGATTGCTGAGCAGCAAGCTCTTTTACTGAGACAGGCTGACTTGCAAGTGGGCAATGATATGAAAGGTATGCAGTAATCATTATTTTCTAAGAGAATTAAAATACTGTCTGAAATGGTGTAGTTGCTTATTACTGGTGTATTCATTCTGCTTATCCACTCAGTTCGCTTCCCTAATCAAGGGGATTTTTGTTGTTGTTAATGTTGCCTGGGTGCCAAGTCAAAGCCTGAAGCTAAAGGAGACTGTATTTAAACAAGCAACAGCAGCAGAATGATAATATGAAAAGCTATTTTGGCTTTACTCTGAGTAAGAAGTTGAAAGTTGACCATGATGGCAATACAGCGAGGGGAAATTCTGAGCACTAATTGGGGGGTGGGGGGGGAAGACATTTTGAGCTGATCTGTGTTCTTGCTCTGATCCAAGCAACCCAGAGCCTTCTGAAAAAGCTGCTCTAGTATTGTCAATCCATGTCACCGGAGGAACAGAAAACAGGCTTTTTTTGTAATTCTTGGGTTCTCTCTGATTACTTCTGTTTTCTTAATTACTTCCTGTCCCTCCTCCACCACCAAACATACAGATGTCTACCTCTCTTCGTGACTGTTTCCTTCAGGGGGTCTATGTTCATCTTGTACTCCTGGTTGCTTTATTACCTATGGGCTTTAAGTGCTTGGCAAGAGGGAAGTGGTGGTTGCAAGGGGAGTCCCTTTTGTCTTTAGTCCTTTATTCTTGAAGTCAGCAAAAGAGATTATCTGTGTCAAACAACAGGCACCCTGTCACTGTGGTTTGAACAGGTATCTAGTGCTGTACATAAATTGTCATCAGGATAAGGAAGTATACCTGTCTTGACTGAAATAAAGGCATTTAGCAAGTTCACTTGAAACTGATTTCACATCCTCCACTAAAAATTTCTCCTGCATCTATTAAGTAGTTGTGATAAAATTTCAACTTTGAGAAAAAATATTTGTTATATCTCAATGTCAAGTTCTTCGCAGTCATGAAAGCCATAAATGAATGTCAATATTAATGTCAGGTGGTATTTAAAAAAAAAAGGAAAGTCTTAGTTCTTGTAAAATCCCTCTCTTAAACTATGGGTGAATAGAGATGCTTTATTTTTCCACCAAAATGCAAGTGTCTAAGTCAACTTCAGACAGGGGTTGTGAGTCATGGGATTTTAGTGTAATGATCTTGCTATGTTTAAAGAACTTTGATGAATTCTTATTCATGGGCAGTTTTAAATTCTCCCACTCTCCCACAATGGAGCTCAAAATAGTTTCCTGCGAGAAGGAAATGAAATTTTGCCAGGACAGATTCTAAGAACGCTCTAAAACATCGCTGTCTGTGGGGGGGGGAGAAAAAAACTACTATTCTGTTAGTGTCAGCAGTTCCTTACGATAATCTGCTTGACTTTGTGATAATCTTTAAACTCAAAATTTCCAGAAACTATAATTTTGAAGTAAGAAGAGGCTCTTTATTTTCTATTTTGTTTAGTTACCAGTATCCTGATGTAATGTGACTTGCATGTGAAGGACAGTATATGACAACCAAATAACTTTAAGGA